ATGAGGGCGACCCAATTTTATATATAATACACCTTGTATAACTGACAACAGTGCTTATAAGTCTTTTTGGCATTTCAGACTAAATTTCCTCCATTTTAAGGGAAGGCTCTCCCCCCTAGGGTGCTTCACGCCCGCAGCATCCTTGCTTCGCTCAGATGGTGAGACTCCCTGATTTTTTTTCCTGGCTAACACCCTGTAGGAATCACATGGAGGTCAGCTTGCAGTATGGCAGGGGGACACAGCGATCACAGAAGAGCTGGCTAGTGATGAGCTGACATTTGACGCATATGTAACTGAACATAGGCCTACACTGAGGTAATGCCAGTGGTCCAACATTCCCACAGTTCCAGATTCTGAGTGGAGATGGGAACGCCGGCAATTAATGAATTGTTTTTCTTCATACTGCTGACCAAATTATAATTTAGATATATGTTTATTAGAAGCATTTACAAAACTGACAAGTATAAGCAAAAGACATTCAACTCTGCCCTCTATTGGCGAGAAAACATAAATGAGGGAATGGGGACTAGATCGATATTAAGCCTACATGAAACCGGTACTGCCTACAGTCACAGCAACAAAGATACCTGAATAATGATGAGGAGGCAGATGCCAGCACCCATTTCAGATGGCTCTCCGTACATGCCTGTCATCACATAGACAATTGCCTGACCAACGGTGATCACCATGCCAAACACTGAAACACGAAACAGCACATGACACATTCGTTCTGCGATCGACTGAGCACACCATCGAGGAAGGAACTTCGAAAAGATACATAATAAAACCGAATGTGAAACCATTTGCCCGCATTCAGGATGCGACAGGCACGACTCGGTCAGTTTATGATCGATTGTGCATCTCAGTAAGATATGAACGGAAGTAATGTAACAAAACCATGAGTAAAATAACACACCCTCATCCCGAGGATGGCGACTAACTACGATTAACTAACGAATAACTAAGCTTGCCCCAACGACCATGCATCCTTACCATGGGTCGAAATTGTAAGAGATGCCCGCATTTTAAGACTCAGGCCAGACATTTCTAATACTAGCAAGCCCGGCGGGCCTGTAGAAAATCCACCCCCAGCATGCAAAACCATCCCCGGCACGCCAGCGAAAATGAAAAGTTACCGCAGTATAGCTCATTAGTATAGTGACTGAATATGTTCTTTGTATTACAGCAAATAAACCATTGTAAAAAATTTCAAATTTCAGTCTTTTATTTTTTTTAAATGCTGCGGTATCCGGGGAATGATGCGAGCCTGTAATTTGCCTGGCGGGCCTGTAAAATCCCTTACCTACAGGCCCGGCTGGCCTGTAAATTTTCAAACTAATTTCTACCCCTGCCTATGAACCAGGAGCACTGCACTCACGTTTCTGTGCACCATTGAATAAGGCTCTGTCTTTGGGCGAGTCACCGACTTCGATGATCTTCGCTCCGGCCAGCAGCTGCATGATGAGTCCTGACGTCACGATGGGAGAGATACCTAGCTCCATAAGCGTACCTGTTAACGAGCATTGCAGGTAAGTCTGACAGCCCTCGTTAAACAGCAAGGCAGGTTAACCTTTTGAAATTGAAAATTATAGGCTCCGAGATCGCATCTGACGACTTCTGGAGGTACAATTATTCACAATTTACAAAGGACAAAATACCTAATTTTTAATGAGAAACTTTTCAAATTGACCCAGGTTAAGCATGAATGCAGAATGAAAAGTGTATTTTTTATAAATAATTATACTCACAAACTACACTATCATTGAATTTAGAGCCACTCGGAAAGATAAATTCTGCATATTTTCAATGCACATTTTACAAATTTGAGTCTCAAAACTGCAATGGCCGGAAAAATACGATAACGGTTGGGAACACACTCTAAAAACCATCACTTTAATGAGCAACTTTAGTAAATACGAGTATACCTGCTAAAGAGCAATGTTGGTGAAAACGATCGAGTGTGCCTGGTAAGGAGCAACATATCTATAGGTGAACGTGAGCAACAGCTATTAATGGGCAATGCACCTGAACCGCTTGCAAAACTAACCACACTATAATAGCCATTGCACATGGCCACATTCATACAATTTCTCACTGCATAGTACAGTTATAGTTGCACTATCTAAGTGAAGTCCAAGAACAAATGTTTCACCTCTGTTTGATGCCATGATGACTCGCATCCAGTAAAACGGATCTGCGGAATCTGAAGACATAATGCCAAACAGAGGAATCTGAAAAGTAAAAAATATGCATGCAGGGTGCGAAATTAACGGGAGTCCGGAATCAAATACTCCCTGACTTACTGCCGGACTCCCTGATTTGACATATGCAGGAGTCCGTGTGACTCCCTGAAAATTCTGCCATACTAACTATAGTTCGTTCCAGAGCACGGCCTCGCGGAATTACCGTATATTTTCAGCAAATGTCCAAAGGAAATTTGGCAGACATGCAACTGCATGAATCTTCAAAATAAGCACATGCGTAATTATTGTTAATATCTTTAATTTTGAACTTCAGACTGCGGACTCCCTCATTTTGCCGCGGACTCCCTCTTTTTGCCGCGGACTCCCTCATTTTGCCGCGGACTCCCTCTTTTTGAGGGCAGGGAGTCCGCTGGATTCGATTGTTCAAAAGTTAATTTCTACCCCTGTACATGCATATGCTAGCATCTTACCAGGAGCACAAACCAATATTTAACCAATGCTATCATGACATGCTATACTACTAATTCAATGTTATAGTGGTGTGCAGGTGCATGGGTTAATTGCCGGTAACATATGCTACCCAAGTATATATATATCAACGTTCTGTTTGGAGTGGCTCTTTGATTTAATGTATTCGCTTAAAACATAAAAAAATGTGTTCATCGATTAAATAAAGTCCTAACTACTGATCAGCAGAGTTGGCCAACTCACCTGGCAACACACGAGAAAAATGAATAGGGTAATGGCAGTCCATAGCACTTTCTCTCTAAATTGGATTTTTCTCTCTGGCTTAGAGACTTCAGGCAAAATGCCACAGAAGGGTCTAATGATCTCCAGGAACTTTACTGTAAACATAAGCAATTATAATAAGTATAATAATTAATCAAGTCATAATTAATTAAGTCAAGATGTGTAATTTGAAACACTGAGCTTTAACAAGTAGGGGCCTAGTGCAGAAAAACCAAACAAGTGCCGCGGAGCGACAGCGCTCATCTAACGTCTACTGCGGTGACTCTGTGGTGGAGTGGTGGGATTCTAGTAAACCCTGTTAGTCCCAAATGTGTTCACATACAC